CAGTTTGAAATCGCCAGCATCTGGTGCAAGTCTTGGACCAGAGAAGGCCTTCCAGAAATGGCTCTGAATGAAAGAGGAAGGTGGTATCAGTGTTAAGGGGGAAAGTGCTTGATGTAAGTACTCACTAGAGGGCAAACCACCATGTCTCTATGTGTGTGGTTGGGGGGAAATGGGGCAGGTTTATGCACAAATGAAATCAGAGTGTTTCTCTGCCCCACTGTCACCTTCTCTGCCTTCTCTCTGGAGCGTTTCTCTCCCCTGGCCACATCCCTGAGTTCCCGGGCTAAGGGCTGCAGCAAAGGCAGAGAGACTGGAGAAAATGGAGATGACTGGGTCCTGTGTATGTAGAGCAAAGATCTTGGAGAAAGCGGGAGCCCAAAGGGGCTGGAGAGAAAGAAGCAAAGGAGTAGAAAACTGTGTCCATCTGGGGAAGGAGAAGGAACTGTTCCTACAAATGGCAGGGGCTGCATGGAGGAGGCCCCTAGGCCCAGCTAGTTTCTCCCCACCCCTCCACCCAACAGTCCCAGCACCCCTGAGCCCCCACGATGGAAAAGGTGCGCTTGGGCCCTCTTTGGGGGTGATGGCAACATCAAAGGGGAGCCTTGGCCCTGGGCAAGGCTGCACTGGATGGACTCGGTGGGACAGTGCCCTCTGAACTAGGGTGTTGCGAATGCCACCACCGCTCCTCTGTACTTGAATGACAGAGAAAAGGAAGACCCCCTTCCCCTGTCCACCAAGTTGTGCCTGGACACAGCCACTAAGAGCCTAAGGTTCCTTAGGAAGTCCTGGAGAGACAGGGACATGGCCTGAGGTAACAAGCCCCAGCTTGGAGCTGTGCAGCTGGAGCCCCAGGAGAGGGAGTTGTCCCAGATCCAGCAGGGGTGTGGGCGAGGGGGTAGGGCAGAAGGGGTTGTCCTGAGGGTTGTGCCTGAGGAGGTTGAGGGCCTCCAGCAACAGGCGATGTGCTCCGCTCCGGGGCAAGGAAGCACAGCCCTGGGAACACCAAGTACAACCTAAGGGGACAGGAGCTCCTTGTTTCAAGCTGCATGGTTGCTGCAGGCTGAGGGGGTCGGTGAGAGGACTGGCAAGGGACACGGGGTCCACAGGGTCCGCGTATGTGGGCAGTGGCCTGGCCCTGATCACCCCGAGGCCCTGTGGCCTCTCTGGGGCCTTACCCAGGTCTCTCCCAGGGACCAGTTTCTGCCCCAGGAAAGACCCCAAAGGCTCTGGGACAACGTGGGCAAAGGCATCCCCTCATGCCAGCTCAAACCCACTGGCCCCACGGGGGGCTCCCCATCTTCTTGTGCAGCCTCACCTTGCTTCCTGCCCATGTGCCCAGATCCCCTCCAATTATAAAGCTGTGCCAAGCCCTTTCAGTCCTGTTCCTTGGTCTCTACTAGGAAGTCTGACTCCCAGGATGGGGTGGGAGTGGAGATGGGGACATGAGTCCTGCCTGACATGCACTTCACACCTGAACCACTGATCTGCCTCCCCTCTGGGAGTCCATTTTGCCCTGGGCTTCCACAGAGCCTGGTGCTGGTCCCCACATCTTCTGGTCTGAGGACAGCCACAGCATCAGACGGAGGGCCTGGGAAGGACATGAGGGTCCCCCAAGGTCAGGTACGGTGGGATTAGAGCCCACGTCTGCAGGCCCCGTGTCTGGCGTCTGGTGTGCTTTCCGGAACAGGGACTAAGGTGAGCCGAAAGGCCTGTTCCACTTCTGCCTTAGCCCTTCTGTTGCTCTCTTCCTTTCCATTTCCAGGGGTCCTGGCCACCCTTGCTTGTCATCATGCTTGGACCAGGGTACCACGTGTGCAACAAGTTTGACCTGGCTAAGAGTGAGCAGGTGGTGTGCACAAAAAAAAATGGTGCACAAGGAGACACCCAGTAGGGCCCCAAGACGGGGAAGGGATGACATCCCAGGGGACGCCAGATAGACATCCCAACACCTGCCCCAGCAGAAAGCTGGCAACAGGGCCATGCCTAGGAGCATGTGGGAGGTGAAGACTAGGGCACACCCCACTGGGTCTCTTCTGCCACTGTGTCTAGGAGTGCACGCTTGACTAAAGGCCTCAGAAGAGAAGCTGAGAATTCACCATCATCGCATCTCATAAGCATGCAGTTGCCGTGAGTATGTGACACATGTACATCCAGCCTCTTTCTTGGAGGCTTTAAAAAGACATCGACGTTCTTGAGTTTTTGCTTTGGTGGCAGAAGCACGACATACTCCCCACCCAGGGAGCATCCATCACTGCTCCCCATGTGCGGTATGTCTTTCATTCAGCTATTTCTCAGAGCTGTCACCATTAGCAATCTGCCGTGTGTCCGTCGGCTCTGCTTCCAGGACCGTCACTGCTACCCACATGCCTCGAGGTTCTTTCCGTTGTTTCCAGGGGCCGGGCTGTGTGGTCTTGCCAGCCTGACCTAGAATCCCAGCACATCCACTGAGGGGCTGTGGGACTTTGAGCAAATCTCTGCATCTTTCTGCACCCAGTTCTCATCTGGAGAAGAGGGGCCATAACAGTGCCCACCTCCCGCCAGGGCTCCTCTGAGGACTCTTGGAGAGAGCGCAGGCCCAGTTGCTCAACCCAGTGCCTGGCATGTAATGAGAATTGATGTTACTTTTAGTTGTTGTTTGTTTTGTTTTGTTTTCATAGTTAAGGCTATGCTATTTATGTGTACAATTTCATGTTTTGGCTTTTTTCTTTAGCACTATAAACCATGTACCTCTGTTCTTTAAGTCTTTGTTTCTTTTTTTTTTAACTTTTTAATGTTTATTTATTTTTGAAAGAGAGAGAGAGGGGGGGCGGAGGGGCAGAGAGAGAGGGAGACACAGAATCTGAAGCAGGCTCCGGGCTCCAAGCTGTCAGCACAGAGCCCGATGTGGGGCTCGAACCCACGAACTATGAGATCATGACCTGAGCTGATGTCGGACGCTTAACCGACTGAGCCACCCAGGCACCCCTGCTTTCACTGTTTTTAAGCTCAGAATATTCTTTCCTATCCAGAGCCGATGTAAGTACTCACTGGTATTTTATTCTAATATTTGTCTTTACATTTAGCCTTTAATCCTGTGGATGTATATTTTAGAGTACGCCATGTGTTAACGATCTGCTCTGTTTTCCTCCAAATTGCTAAATGTGCTGATACCATCTCTGAATCATCCTTTCATGGTGATGACTGATGTTTCCTTCATTTATATTGTACACATGTGTGCGTGTGTGTATACCACCTGTAGTCTCTTTCTAAACCATTTGTTTGTTTATTTTGACGCCACAGTGACTTGGTGACTCTACAGTCTAGAGTTCTATGTTGTAGCACTAGGAGAAGTGTGAAATTCTGGCATCAAGTGAACCCCAGCCAAAAATAGATGAAAAACAATTTGTAAACATGAAGTTTGTTGTGAAGGAAACCTATGGTGGCATTGTGTTAGTACCTAAGTTTTAGTTTGCTTTAATGAATAGAGTTCAGTTTTGTACCATATTTTGGCAAGGAAACTTAAGCAAGGAGGCAGGAACTCCCTCCTCCAAATATACAACCCTGAGGGCCACAGCTCCCAGAATTTACTGTCTGAGCTGCCCCACTGGCGACAACATTCAATCATTACAAGGCAATCACTAAAAGGTCTACGTGTCTTTTTTTTTTTTTTTTTTTTTTTAGGGTCTACGTGTCTTAAGTGAACCAAGTGATTAGCAGCTATGTAATGTGAAACACACAGTTAGTGAAGAGAAAGGAACCAAGGAGCATTTGGAAGAGGCCCGGAAGTAGCCAAAGCTACTGGGAGTGTAGCACAATGACACAAAGCAAGTGTTTTTAAGAAAATATGCACTGTCCAACATAGAGAAGCACAAGAGAACAAGGATGAGGGCCAGCCAATGGGGACCTCCTTCAGGAGCAGGGGTCACATGTTAAGTACACATTGGAGGAATTTGACAAATTCCTTCACACTTCATATACTAGAAAAGGGAATAGGAGTAAGTATGAAGTTCTGATTCTGATGGAAGGCAGAGAATGCATGACTTCAAGAGGAAAGGATGAAGTTGCTGAAGGGAGAGAAGACATAATAATTATGGGGACAAGGGTATGAGGACAAATTAGGATGGGCTTCAGAGTGCAAGCAGAAGGGCATGCTTTAAAGAGGAAACTAGAAGGAGTAAGAGAATCCAAATATCCAGGTTAAGGGTCTATGGTTCGCCAGATCCCCTGTCATTAAAAGGGGAGCCTGAGGGAACAGGGGAATAAAACAAGAAATGGCCAATAAGCACTTGAAAAAAAAGTTCAAAATTAAAACCGTTTTCCCCTCTTCAAATTGGCAGAGATTTTAAAAACTACAGTACATGCTGGCAGGGTATAGGGACATATGCATTCTCATATACTTCTACAAGAATGTAAACTGGAAAGCTTTTTGACAAGCAATTCATAACACAAATCAAGTACCATGAAAATTCCTCTTCTAGTTATTCTAGAGGGAAAAAACAGAGCTGTGGAGAGACATTTAAATGCAAAGATGTTCATAACAGTGTAAGTAAGTGAAAAGGGAAAAAATTAAAATTTCCCAGAACACATAAATGATTAAAGTAATTATATATCTAGATGATGAAATAGTCATTAAATATCATGATTTTGAAGAATTTTTTACCTTTTTTTAAGAGTTTATTTATTTATTTTTGAGAGAGAGAGAATGCTCGGGAAGAGCAGAGAGAGAAGGAGAGAGAGAAAATCCCAAGCAGGCTCTGCACTGTCAGTGTAGAGCTTGATGCAGGGCTTGAACTCAAACCTTGTGACCTGAACTGAAACCAAGAGTTGGACGCTTAACCGGCTGAACCACCAAGGCACCCCTAAAGATTTTTTAATGATTTGTAAAACTGGTTATGATTATAAAATCAAACAAAAACCAGTATACATGACCGTAATCTTTTGTAGTTATAATGTATAAGTACATATATACTTACATGTGTATATAAAAAATAATGGAAGGAAATACACTAAAAACATTAATAGTGCTTTCCTCTAACAAGTGATTTTATTTGCTTCTTTATACTTTTCTGCCTGTTAAATTTTTTTTCTGCAACCAACACAACATACTTTTATGATTAAAACAAACTCTGCCAACAAGAGACATTATTTACAAACAAGGAAGGGAGAAATCCCAGTTTCCTCCAGCCCTGAAGTTTAGAACTGCATGAAAGAAGGTCCTATGCAAAATTGCCCACTGCCTTGAATAAGGAACCAGAAGAGACTTTTGTTCCAGAATGAGTATGGTGAACTTGGCTTTGAACAATAGGGAGGGGAAAGAGAGATGTAGAAAGCAGGATCTTGTATTAGTTCTAGAGGGTTCATTCAAACACAAGAAGAGGCTTACATCCTACCAAATGAACACAGGTAACTTCCACATCTTAATTCAACTGAGATGCTGGGGGAGGAGGGGATTATGACTGGCTGCTCACAGAAGTTGAGTAGCTAGGGCATGGAGCACCTGTGTCTACCACCTTTGTGAGCTGGCAGGGGAAGGCACATTGGCTTAGATGAACCTGTAAGCTTCTGGAGCCAAACTGCACAGGTTTTATTCCTGGCTCAACCACGTATTTGCTGTCTGAATTTGAACAAATCATTTAGTCTTTTAGGGCCTACGTTTCTTCACCAGTGAAATGAAGATGTTGGCAATTTCTACCTAAGACTTTTTATAAGATGAACTCAGCTATATTTGAAAAGTACATACCACTGCATGCCTGACACACTGTACATGCCATACAAGTGTTTGCTATTGTTATTATCTGTTGCCATTACCTGTGTACTAATTTGAGACGACCTAAAATACAAATGGTGGATGCTAAGGGGTTCAGTTCTAAAATGGGGAAAGTCATCAATCTGTGAGGGAGGCACAGAAGAAGTAAAAACAATAGAGACTTGGGTGAAAATGAAGAAGTTAAAGGGAACCCCACATCCCAGTATCATCAATCTTCCTCACAGGCCTGGGGAAGCTTTTAGAAAATGTTGTCAATTACTTTTCTAAGATCAATTCACTGCATTTGGCTTTTAGTTAAAAATGATTCAGAAGTATCATGAGTTTAAAGGAAATAGCGTATTTTAGATGACTTGAACGTCACCATTTGCTCCATCAATGCCACTGCGAGGAATTTATCCATAAAAGATAGCCTGACAAGTTTGCAAAGATGTAACAGAAGGTTATTTGACTTTGGTGTTGCATAGAATAATGTAAATCTGGAAACAACCTAGTTATCAATAGTGGACTGGGGTAAATAGAGGATAACATGCTGGTAAAGTGCAATGCTATGCAGCCACTGAAGGGGATGAATACCCAGCTACACATATATATGCAATGACACGGAGAGCTGTCCACAACACACTATGAAGGCCAAATGGCAGGTAAAGGATCACAGCACGTACCTCAGAGTAGCCACATCTCCACAAGTAGTTGTGTGGGATGAAAGGGATCAGAAGAATGCTTATACAAAGGTTGACGGTGATTGGCTCTGGGAGTTAGGATTTCAAGACATTTGTGTTTTCTTCTGGATGTCTCTCTCGATTTTTTTGAGCACATATTATCTTTGTCATGGGCCAATCTGGGTAAAAAAATCTATTTGTTAAATGAATGAATGTCTTTTTAAAAAACACAAAATGCAACAAATAGTTTTCGTTGTCACCCTACTTCCACCCTTTCTTTGGGGTCAACTTGCCATTAATTAAAAAAAAATTTAAATGTTTATTTATTTTTGAGAGAGAGAGAGAGAGAGAGAGAGAGAGAGAGAGAGAGTGAGTGAAGGAGGGGCAGGGAGAGAGAGGGAGACACGGAATCCAAAGCAGGCTCTGGGCTCCAAGCTGTCAGCACAGAGCCTGACACAGGGCTCGAACTCACACACTGTGAGATCGTGACCTGAGTCGAAGTCGGACGCTCAACCAACTGAGCCACCCAGGCGCCCCTCAACTTGCCATTATTAAACACGCTATTCTTTTGACTGGAATGTAAACGTCCTGTAAAGGAGAATGCAATTGGGAACACCTCACACAGAATTATGAATGCTGAATGTGAGTAGGTAGCAGAGGCCAACAAAAACACCACACAGCATTTAGAATTCTTAAAGTGTTCATTTTTCTTCTCAGAGCTAGAATTGCAAACCTTACTTCAATCCAGGGTCTCCAAATGGTCAGTTTTCACTTTCTCTGAATGGATCAGGTATGAGTACCTCCCATGGGGGATACAAAATAAACATAAAACTGCTCTCGCTACCAGAAAGTGAAAAAGGCCTTGCACGCTTTTGCTAACCAGAAGGATATCAACTTACTTGGCTTTCACTCACTCACCTAGACAGAGGCTTCATGGCCCTTCTCCTTTAAGCATCCATGATTCCTCTGCTGCTCTAACTGGGAAATCATGTCTGGTTTGGGAATTGGAATCCCTGGTTTTTGAAAAATAAAGGGGACTTAGATATTTGTGCTAGGGTCACAATGGTGTCCCACAGATCCATTCCAATCACTTGGCTTCCAGGAGGAAAAGGTACTCTAGGACACCACACAGTGGTACCAAGAATATCTCCACAGGGTCCAATGTGACTTCCAAGAAGGACAGGAGGAAAGGAAGGAGGATGGGTATGGGGGCAGGAGTGGGAAACTCTCAGCTGCAAGGAACAACTAGCTTTGCCTTCCCAGATAGAATGGAAATCTGGTCATCTCCAATGGAATGTGATAGGAAAACCCCTGACCTAGAAGATCAGAGGACAGAGAGACCAAAGTCTCTGAGCACCATAAGGAAGTTTATCAACAATTCCATTTGTCACTGGTCTTGCAACAGAAAACAGAAACAGAAACGATCTGTTTCTGGCTCCATAGGAAACACAAATCAGAGCCCTGGCTCTCCAGCCCCGGCTCATAGGGTCCAGAGAAGGAATGCTGTCCTTACCGAGGGAGATCAGGGTCTTGTACTTCGCTGGTGTCCCATCCTTACCCACATCCTGCTGAGCAGGGGCCAGCTAACTACCACCCTCTTGACAAAAGTCTGAGGGCACATCTGTGAATATTACAGACTCCTAAAAGACCCAAACCATTCCTACTTACCATGAGCCTCCTTGGGGAAGGCTGGAGTTGGTAGCATTGTAGGAAGAGAAGATGGACAGGAAGGTCTCCTCGGCTCCAAGTCCGATGCCTACTGAGCACCTAGTGTATGTCTAGCTGAGTGTTTTACTCCATGGAAACTACAAAAAAAGAGTGGACACATGTCCCTCAAGAAGAAAGTCATTTAATCGGGAAGAAAACACTTAAAGCAGATTCCAATGAGCCCCTACATGCTGGGCATGGTGGAGATAGGAAATTCAGCAGCAGGGAACTGGCTTGATTTGTCCCGTGGTATATGCTGAGGACTCCCAATTCTAATCCCTTCCAGCCCCAGATCTCTGCCTGCTCAATAAATAATTGTCAGGAGAATAATTAAAACAATTTGATTTTGGGGTGTTGAGTTTGATAAGTTCTTTATAGATTTTGGATACTAACCCTTTATCCAAAATGTCATCTGCAAATATCTTCTGCCATTTGGTCAGTTGCCTTTTAGTTTTTCTGATTGTTTCCTCTGCTGTGCAGAAGCTTTTTATTTTGATGAGGTCCCAGTAGTTCATTTCTGCTTTTGTTTCCTTTGCCTCCAGAGACATGTCTAGTAAGAAGTTGCTGTAGCCGAGGTCAAAGAAGTTGCTGACTGTTTTCTCCTCCAGAATTCTGATGGTTTCCTATATTACATTTAGGTCTTTCACCCATTTTGAATTTATTTTTGTGTATGGTGTAGAAAGTGGTCCAGTTTCATTCTTCTGCATGCTACTGTCCAGTTTTCCCAGCACCTTTTGCACTGTTGGTGGGAATGCAAACTGGTGCAGGCACTCTGGAGAACAGTATGGAGGTTCCTCAAAAAGTTCAAAAATAGAGCTACCCTATGACCCAGCAATTGCACTACCAGGTATTTATGCAAAGGATTTAAAAATACTGATATGAAGGAGCACATGCACCCCAATATTTATAGCAATGCTATAACAATAGCCAAAGTATGGAAAGAGCCCAAATGTCCATCAACTGATGATGAATGGATACACACACACACACACACACACACACACACACACACACAATGGAATATTACTCAGTGACGAAAAAGAATTAAATCTTGCCATTTGCAACAATGTGGATGGAACTAGAGTGTATTATGCTAAACTAAATAAGTCAATCTGAGAAAGACAAATATCATCATTTCACTCATATGTGGAATTTAAGAAACACAATAGATGAATATAGAGGAAGGGAAGCAAAAATAAGATAAAAGCAGAGAGGGAGGCAAACCGTAAAAGACCCTTAAATACAAAGAAAAAACTGAGGGTTGATAGTGAGGAGGTGGGAGGGTGGATGGGCTAGATGGGTGATGGGCATTAAGGAGGGCACTTGTTGGGATGAGCACTGGGTGTTATATATAAGTGATGAATCACTATATTCTACTCCTGAAACCAATACTACACTATATGTTAACTAACTTGAATCTCAATTAAAAAAATATGAATGGATATAAAAAGAAAAAACAAACAAACAATTTGAGAATGAATGCCCTGATTACAAAGTCAAATGATTAGTTTTATTGTAGAGAGCATACAGCCTGCTGGAGCCACAGAGAAGGAAGAGAGATGGGGGTGGGGTATGGTGGGGGTAGTGATAATGGATTGAGAGTGGCTTTATGAAGGAGGTGGTCTTTAAGGGAGGGTAAGACTTGTAGGGGACAGTTCCCACATTTGGCCCATGGCACCAGAAATCCTTACAACAGTAGTTCAAGCCCCTTCAACTGCCATTGCTTTGTAGGGAGGCATCCCCACTGCCACAGCCTTCTGCTGGATTACTGTGATTGTTTTAGAACTGGATTTACTGCCACTTCTAATCTCATGTTCTACCATTCCATTGTCTACACCAGAGTGGCCATTCTGAAAAGCAAACCTAGGCCCAGCACGTTTATTTTTAAAAATCCTCTGCAAGCACTCTTTCAAAGATGAAACCACATTCCTTCAGGTGATATTCCAGACCTTTACCAACCTGGACCTGACCTACCTGTCTGTCCTCATCTACTCCAACTCCTGCCCACATAGACTCCATACTCCAGGAAAACTGTCCTTTTCACTGTTCTCCGAATACATATGTTACTATGCTCTTTTATGTTTCCAATGCTTTTGTAGTTGCTTTCAAACACATTCAAGTTCAAAGGTAATTACCATCTGGTCTTAAAAATATCCTCACTGTCTCCTTGGGGATTTAAAACATCTTGGGGGGTCTAGGGGGCTCAATTGGTTAGGTGTACAACTCTTGATTTTGGCTCAGGTCATGGTCTCACGGTTCGTGAGTTCAAGCCCCGTGTCAGGCTCCATGCTGATAGTATGGAGCCTGCTTGAGATTCTCTCTCTCTCACTCTCTCTCTGCCCCTCTCCTGATCGCTGTCTCTCTCTCTCTCTCTCTCTCTCTCTCTCTCTCTCTCTCTCTCTCAAAATAAATAAAACTTTAAAAAAATTATAAAACATCTAGAACCTCTTTACATGCATAAGTGGAAAAGGTGATATGATATAACAAAATAGATGTACAAATGGACAAAGATTAGAAGGAAATACACAAATTTGAAATAAGTCTTGTTGAGTAATAGAGTTATAAACAGTTTCTTTTCTTCTACAAGAAAAGATATGTTAGTGTTGCTTTAATATCTTGTTTAATGATTAAAAAACCCAGCAAGCAATAGTGTACCAAATGACAGGAAAGCTTTAAGGTAAAGAATCTGCTTTGGGGACAATTATTCAAGTGAAAGAGCACAGTGGGCTGGATTTACCACAGATGCCATCATGGAAGAGAAGAGTTTTGAGTAAAAAGTAGGAGGGAATGGCCTAAAGCACGTCACAACATCTAGAAGGAGCAGGAGGTCTTGTGCTCCAGAGACACAAACAAAGACTATAAAAGGGGGGTCAGGTACCAGAATGGAAAGGCTTTGGGAGTACAGGAAAATGGATGGAAGTCAGACAACTCCTAGACAAGAGATAATGTGACCATACTTGGGGCCTGGAATGGCCACCAATATCTAGAAATGGTACATGACTTGGTACCTGAGAACACACTGGTTCTGCTGCACAGTTACCAGAGCCATATTCTTGAGAGTGGGAGAGTGGTGAATTCCCAAGGAGCCTGTTATTCCTTTGGGAATAGCAGAAGTTTCTAAGAATAAGAGGAAGCAGGAATGAAAATAATATTTGTTGAGTATCTACACATGCTAGGCACCATGGTCAGAAGTTACATATAGTAGGCTGTGAAACCTTCACAACAACCCTGTGAGGTATATACCTCTTATATCCTTTCACAACAGAAATACATTCAGAGTGGTTCTAGAACTTGCTTAGCACCTAGCATGCAAGTGACAGAGCTAAGAAGTGCCTATGTATGTATACTTCTGAGCAACCTGAAAGGGAACACAGACAAAAGAAAGTTAATCACATTGAACAGTGAGATCATGGGTGCTTTCCTGATGACTTCTGGTAGTTTTTCTTAATGTTGTTATAATAACATTAAAGCAATTTCTTTTGACTGTAAATGAAGAAGGAATTAGTTTGATGGATTCCTAGATGTACCCCCCCCCCTTCCATAACCATTAACGTGATCTGAAAGTTTAACAAGTTTAAGTATTAGGATTAAAAGTCTCAAGAGGCGATTGTTATAATTTTTCAAGTAATTTTTTAAAAGATAAAATAATAGGGGCACCTGGGTGGCTCAGCCTGTTAAGCGTCGGAAATCAGCTCAGGTCATGGTCTCAAGGTTGGTGCGTTTGAGCCCCACATCAGACTTTCCGTTGACAGTGCAGAGCCTGCTTCAGATCCTCTGTCTCCCTCTCTCTCTGCTCCTCTGCCTGCATGTTTTCTCTCTCTCCGTCTCTCTCAAAAATGAACATAAAATAAAATAAAATTATTAAAGCAAGATTTTTAAAACACTATACAGAAAGATCTTGAAATGTAAAAACAGCAATCATTTAACTCTATATCAACTTTTTACAAATCAGGGAATGAAAATATATGGACAGTTCCCTGAGAAGCAGCCAGAGGCCAGGGATCTTGGTTCAGACAGCTGAGCCCTTGAAGGGATTTATGTGCCTTGCCAACAGGGCAGGAGAGAATCTGGATGTTAGTGTTCCCAGAGGGAAACGAGTTTGCAAAGTGAAGCTTCTAGAGGAGGTGACTTTGTCAGAGTCTGCATTGTTGAGTCACAGGCATTTCTACAGGGGCTGACAGGGCAGATGAGCAAGCAGGCCAGGATTCAGCAAGTTCAGTACCCCACAGGCAAACAGAGCAGGTGTCAGTCCCTGTGCCCCCAAACAAACCAGTCCCAAGAAGGAAAGACTATGGTTGGTGCTGCAAGGTCGATATCAGCTAATATGTTTATACCACACAGCCCAATGTTCACATCACATTCTAAAGGCAAACAATACAGTTTTATATAATGTGGACAATAAAGACTACAAAGGTTTATGCTCTGACTAGAAAATGCAACTGAACCCTGTTTACTCTCATATCTGTGAAAGAGCTGATTCCTTTAAGCTGCTTCTCTCTCAAATTCTGTGTCTCAAGCATGTAAATCATGTTTAACAAATAAGCCTAAAGTATGGAAAGCAATAGTCTTATTTAGATCTCAGAGTCTCTGAAAACCTTGTGCCAATTCACATGTCCAACACAAGAAATGGATATAAACAAAACTTGAAATCTATTCATTTATTTTTGGCTCTAAATCCACTTCCCTGGCCTTGAGAAGAGTTGCACTGATATTAGATTTGTAGATCTGAAATTATACGCAATGTGAAATTTAAAAAAACCTGCTACTTTGAAAATTGACCTAAACTTCTTAATTTGAAAATTGACCTAAAATCACAGGGAATAAACACCTTCTTTATTGTGGCTAATACAACAGTAAAAGACTAAACTCTCTTCTGCCTGTTTTCTTGCATCCAGTCAAAAACAACTAGCTGGCACCAAAAAGCAGCCATTTCCTCCAGGTCTCTGCCTGACCAGGTTGTGCCTCGTTAGTGGACTACAGGAAACCCTTCAGGAATCCATGACTGACTACTTGAGGCAACTGCCCAGGAAAAAGTGGGGGCCTTTTCTCTTTTACACAGTGCCAACGGCCTGGAAATTAGATCTTTGAAACCCTTCTTATGTGTAAAACGATGGATTCTTGGAGGGCTTCCTGAGGCCCGCTAATGGCTTCTCATTTAGGTAATAAGGGCTGTGGTTGTGACAGCCTTCTGAGCTAAAACAAAACAAAACAAAAACAAACAAACAAACAAAACCCCGCATGCACACACAAAACCACATCAGGTCACTTTGGGTCTTCCCTCCTCTAAACACCCTATAGACTTGCCCTAAAATACTAAATGTTTCCCAGCTTCCTGATGCGCACGCAGTAAGGCCCAGCGAAACTGACTACCAACAATATACACACCAACCTGGAGGACGTTATGCCTAATGAAAGAAACCAGACACAAAAGGACACATACTATAGATTCCACTTACTAGAGCAAGGTCATAGAGACAAGAGAGTCAAATGGTGGTTACTGAGATGCGGAGTTAATGTTTAATAGAGACACAGAGTTTGGGAGGATGAAAAAGTTCTGGGGATGGACAGTGGTGGTGGCCGCACAACGATGTGGATGTGCTCAATGTAACTGAGCTATACACATAACAATGGTTAGAATGGTAACTTCTGTGTTATATATATTTTGTCACGGTAATGTTTTTACAAGAGTGTAAATACCACCTGCGTTTCTTCTTACATATAAACTTTGATTTATGCCCTCACACACCTTCTACTCCAGCCTATCTTCTCATTAGTCCTTGGAAAATCTGTTCGTTTCTGTCCCTGAGCCTTTGTCATACTCTCCTCTAGCCTGGAAACACCCTGTCATTTCTACATCTCCAAATGCAGCTTAAATTTCTCCTTCTGTTTTTTCCCCAGAGTACTTCCTGTTTAAACTTCTGATATGGGTAGTTAATCATGCAGTTTCTTATTATTTCATCATTTCATACTCAGATCTTGTCCTGTTCTCTCTCCCCCAACAGTCCCTAAGTTCCCTCATGCTCGGGACTGGGTCCCACATAGTAGAGAACGTTGAGGCACAGAGTAGATCTCAAAGGTGTGATGAATGACTAAATGGTGGGTGGAGAAGAGAAAACTGAAGAAAGGTGTCCTATGGGTTCCATCTTCTTCCAAGATGGGAAATCTATGAGGAGTCTGAGGCTCAAGCTCCTGAAGGAAACTGGCTTGGCAGAGACACTGCAGGGCAGGGACGATAATACCCTCTCTCCCTAAGAACTGAGGGGGCCTTTCAGAGAGGAAAAAGAAATCCCAGCTCACCTCTAAACAGAATGTTGGGAGCCCAATTGTTCCCTCTTCTTCTGGGTCATCCTTTCGGGGTAAGAGCAGAGTCCTGGGAAGGTAGTGCTGGAAGAAGAGGAAGATACCGTGAGAGACTCTGGCCCTTCCTGCAGCAAGGTAAGATAAAAACTCACCTTGGATTGGATACTTCTCACCCATGAAATAGTGTTATCACCTATCCTACTTGCCTTACAGGCACTGGAGTTCAAAATGAGATAAGAGACATGGCAGTGCCTTGCTAAGGGGAAGCCAGAATGAAATAAAAGGAATGACTGAAAGCCTAAATAGCAGAAACCTTGGCAAGGCAGGATTTGCACCGCCAGGAAATAGGTGACACCTGAGCTACCCCTCTATACCCAGCTCCACTGGGCTGCACTGTCCAATGGGGCAGCCATGCAGTCATGTGGCTATGGACACTTGAAATGTGCTGAGTGTGAGTTGAGATGTGCTGTACAGGTCAAATACACGCTGGATTTTGAAGACTTAGTGAAGAAAAAAAGTGTAAAATATTTCACTGATAACTTATTATATTGATCACACATTGAAATGATAATACTTTTGGATATGTTGGGTTAAATAAAACACATTGTTAAAGTTAATTTCACCAGTTTCTTTTAACTTCCCATACGGCACACATGTACCTCGCATTATGTTTCTACTGGACAGCACCGTCCCCTACGGAATGGTGGCGGCTTGACATCTTCAAGGCAACCGATGCTTTCTCTGCACCAAACATCCAGTCTTGCAGTCCTTCGCACCTCCCAACCCCAAGCATCGGTTTTCCCCTCCCTCAGTCTGGGTAAGGGCTGATCCACTCCTTCAGTTGCAGCCCGAGGGGCTCTCCTCTCTGCCCCCACTATCTGAGTTGGTTCCTCCACGTCACTCTTCCCATATGAGCAGTGGCTCTACACCACGCCTTCCAGCTAGGGCTCCAACACTAAGCCATTTAGGTTCCAAGATTTGGGGCAGAGGGACGCTCCCGTGTGCAGCTGCAGTCACAGAGTGCATTTGGTCCTTGCGCCAGCTTACCTCCAGCGCCAAGACTCGCCGATCTCCTCCAGCAAGCTCTCATCCAGCCATCATATGCTCCAAGGCACGGCCGCCACGACAGTAACTTAGCCTCACAAGCTATCAAACTCACTCAACGACAGCAAAACCGCAGCCTCGGGAAGGCCACCAAGGCTTCCACAGGCACACAGGGCGCTTGCGCTCCACTATGCAGCTGCAGCCACAGGCGCCTCCCGAGCTCCTCCTGGGCCCGCAGCCGCGTTTCCGCAGTTGCTGCCTCTCAGATGTACACTCCTAAGATCGCGCTTTTAGCCATCTCTAGCCCCCAGGACAGACGGAGGCGGTCCCGCCCTCCCGAATGATCTTGGGAGTTGTAGTCCGCAGCCCAGACGCAGGCGGGGTCGACACGAGCACCGCCCCTCCACAGGTGGCTAGCTTGGAGGCCACAGCCTTGGCAGCTGCGTCAGCTGCAAGGTCCTTGAGGACGAGAATCTCGGGGATGAGCTAGTGCCCAGCCGTCTGGCGGCTCCTTCAGCCCAGCTGCCTGCTAACACACCTGCAGCCATGGCTGTCCTGGCAGGAAAGGCACCAGCGTGGTTACAGGACAGGCACTTGGTGTTCCAGCAGACTGCAGGGGACAGAGTGAGGTCCTGAAGATTAACTCTGAGTGTCTTTCGTGGGCGAGGCACTAGCCCAGTAGGGAGGCACTAGCCCAGGCTCAGGAGAACAGAGAACCCAGACAGGCACAGGCCGCACCCTTGGGGAGTTCAGCAATTACAGGGCAGTGAGTCTAGGTGCAAGGGTGCAGGAAACTACTGAAAAGGGTAGCCAACCCTTAGCCTACAGTAACAGTAGAGGTGGGGCCCAGTAGGTAACTTTCAGCCAGAAAAATGCCTGAGATACCCAGACTTCACCCCCGCAGAGCCCAATTCGATTCTGGGTCTTTGGGCCACCTTCATGTATCAAAGCACTACTATAAGGAACAACACAATTTAGCCAGACAAAGGTGAAGGACTGTAAGGGTTAAATTGTAGTGTAAGGCTAACGCTTAGCTTGAAAAATAACAACTTTGTTCTGACACTGAAGGTCAAAGGATAACAGCCTTGCTTTTACTCTTGTAAATCATACTTCATACTCTTGTGAATCAGGCTTTACCAATGAAGGAAACAAAAGCTCAAAAAAAGAGCATCAGAGACAAGGCCAAGGAGATACACTGGTTGCAACTGAGCGGCAGAAAGTCTAAAATAATCACCTCATTCAATAACTGTTTCTAACTCATCTGGGAACTGTTTCTCTGTTCTGTTCCCAGATAACGATAAAACGATGTGATCGGCTTTAAAAACTCTGTACCCCGGCTGTTTGGAGCCACACTCTTATCAAGAGTGTTGGTCCCGATCGGTCGGCCTTGCCTCTCATTGTAATAGACTTTGTTGTGACTGTCACTGGTGCCCATAGCATTCTGTTTCAGGAGTCGTGTGGATGCAACAGGACAAATACCAGTTACATCAATAATCTCCTTCAACACCCCTAAACATTATCCAATCTACCTTCAAACTATTTTCAAAATTGTTTACTTTCCTCCACTTCTTTACCTACCACCATAGTCCAACCGAGTGGCCTACAAAAATGGGGTTCATGTGCCCCTGGGGATGTGCACACTTTCCAAGGGTTGGGTGGGTGAGGCTATCTTTAATTTCCACATTCAGGTGCTTAAGAGCCTGACACTTTGGTCATGCACTCTCTCCATCTCCACAATCACGTTTCGTGTACTTACTTTATAAAGGAAAGCATACTCATTATTCATCCTGAAATACTTATACTGACAACTGAACTATATAATCCCAGGAGTTAAAAACTCCAGTGGGTTGGCAAAATAAAGGAACACCACCAATCATTAGTTTGGAAAAACCTTCCATCAGTGAGTTAATGAAATCATCAAGAAATTCCTTAAGACTTGAATTTTCCTACCGTACACACACTAATTTCTGCTGGAAATGAGGCATGGTTCAAAAACATCAGTATTTTAGCCTGTGTTGAGATATTACGATTTCAGATATATTGTATGCTAGAGCATGGGAGTGATTTGACATCTAATGTGCCGTAATATTATTACTTAATTTATATTTTCTTAAAAACAGACTTTTATTTTTCCCCATAACAATTATTTTGCCTGTTATTCTTGAAACCTTTGCCTAGAACATGTAACTAGCTAGGGAAAACTACAATCAAATAACTGAATCAGGTTAGAATAATCATCATTTTGTGATTATCTGGACAATATTTAATTTAATTTAATTTAATTTAATTTAATTTAATTTAATTTTACTTTATTGTTTTACATCTGGAATATTTTCTAATGCTACCAACATTCAAGATACACTGAATAATATCAACAAATAAAAAGTTTACAAGATTTTGAGATAAATTAACTTTGTAAAATAGTTAAAAACTACTTTTACCAAATTGAATCGAGAAGTGTTCCAATTATCATTACCTATTTCACTGACAAAATGTTTTATGTTTTCCACCTCCTTTTATAAAACAAAAGGCCAGCTAACAGACTGATTAAATTTTAGCAGTACATCCATTTCTCTCTTTTTTTTAATGAAATTTATTGTCAAATTGGTTTCCATATAACACCCAGTGCTCATCCCAACAGGTGCCCTCCTCAATGCCCATCACCCACTTTCCCCTTCCATTTCTCTTTCTTAATGACATGAGGAAAGGTTGCCCATAATGCCTAATATAATTAATGAAATTATTTCTGAGATTCACATGACTGTGATTTATTTATTCCCAAAGGACAACACTAGCATGAAAAACACACAAGGGTGCATGTCATGCTTTCCGTTATAATGCCTTATTTGATAACATAAAATTTTAGTTACACGGGTGCCTGGGTGGCTCAGTATGTTAAGCGTCCAACTCTTGATTTTGTCTGGGGTCATGATCTCGGGCTCTCTTGGTGAGTTTGAGCCTCATGTTGGGCTCTGCGCTGCCAGTGTGCAACCTCCTTGGGATTCTGTCTCTCCCTCTCTCTCTCTGCCCCTTCCCCGCTTGCTCTCTCCCTCAGAATAAATAAATAAACTTAAAAATTTTAGTTACAGTTCACATAGGTTTATCATACACTAGGTGATGAGAAACAGCCTTATTACCCAGTTTTACAATTGATTATAAAATGGATAAAGTATGTTACCTCTGTAGTATTTAAATCTCGATATTGAAGACTCTAGTAATGTCTATATTCAAAGAAGTATCCTATCATGTATTTCTTAGTGGTTTAAAAGATGTTCTTCCAAAACTGAGGGTTGA